AACTCCATCTTGAAGATACCGATTCCAACAAAGTAGACCCAAGAGAAGTCAATAGCAAACCAACATAAAATTAAAATACTCATTAAGAAAGACTCATAAATAACTTCACTAAGGTGGCACAAGACAGAAATACCAAGGCGTAAAATATGCAACAATCCATGAGAAGATAATTAAAGGAGGGGTTGCCACGAGCCCCAAGCCAGAGCAAGGGGGCTGTGACTATGAAGTTTGTAGATTCAGTGTTTGGTGAGAAGAAATAGAGAGAGGAGAAAGCCATTTTTCTAACTCTGTTTTTACTAGCTATTATGTGGTGAAAAAATATCTATTCGGATTTTTTTTTTTTTTTTTGGTCTGAATCTATTTGAATATTGGAAGGAAAAAAAAAATATTAGACCAAGAGCTAGTTGATGAAATAAATATAATATAAGATGATCTCTTTCATGATTAAACTGAAATTGTACAAATGTTAGGCTTTCGAGTTGCTGCTTATTCTTTAGGCAGGCAAACAAGCTCTCCATCTGTCTTTGGACTCGAAGGCCAATCTCCATCTAGCCCTTTCTATCTGCTCGTCCCCTTTTGCCTTCTTTGGTAAGAAACTTGAATTTCATAATGTTTGAGACGCCTTAAGTAATGGATTTAAGCTAATAAAGAATAAAAAAAGTCTCATGTAACGCAAAATTGTGTGTCAACCCATGTTAGTGTCACTGGCGCGATTGGTTTAACATAGATAAAAGGCTGTCTCATCCAATCAAGTTTCAATTACGTTCTACAATCAAACCATCAATATTGGGGGAGAATGAAATCAAGTGCAGAGATTAGCTGTTATCACTTGAGCTGATCCCACAACTTGCATATTTTTATGCTTAGAAAAAGATACCTAGGCTTAGGTTTGTTTGGAGGATTTTGGTGAACTTCAAACTGAGGTAACTCTTTTGAATTGTGACAACACTTCAGCAATTGCCATCGCCAAGAATCCCATATTTCACCGGAAAACCAAGCATATTAACCAAAGGTAGCATTTCATCAAATAAGTACTGCATAAAGGGGTAATTGACTTGATTTACAGTCCAACAAATGAGCAGCTAGCAGACATATTCACCAAGGCATTGGCAAGGGATCAGTTCAATAAGCTCAGAGGGTAACTTGGAGTGAAATCAGTTCACAATATACACGTGAGTGTTGAATTGTAAATTGGTGAATTCATTTCTTTACTCCTAAGAAATGTGATGTGTAGTTGTGTACTATCCGATTGGCTCACTCATATACACACTGAATGAAGGAAATAGTGCAGAGTGATATTCTTTGCACATTCCTGCAAATATGAGATCTGTGAGATCATCTTCTTTTTCTTCTCTTCAATTTCCTTCTTTTTTAACCTCCAAACAAGAATCAGATAACAGTTCCTATATTCTAACACGATCAAGGAAAAGAATATGAGAATTACAAACATCCTATTTGGTATGCTTTCACTCCCGTTGTCCGATGTCACACTATAATTACTTAAAAATATTCATCTAGTTTACAGACCAAAAGGGTTCAGATTGAGACACTGTTGGGAATTCCTTTTCCAGTCAGTCCACCCTCTCTACTCTTGTCTGATGTGTTAGGGTGGAGCAAGGTATAAGGCACGTCTACAGGCCCAACTCTGTTCTTCAATCTATTATCCTTGTTCCTTGCATCGATTCTCTTTTCAATGTCCATTAGCTTCTCTCCGAATCTTGCAAATGCTGTTAGTGCTTCAGCATCTGAAGTCCACTCAGCAGTATCGTTTTGCCCAAGATAAACCTCATCAGTCGAATGTCGTGATAAAATCTCTATCAGAGATACACCAAGGAGAGTTTGGAACTGAGCTGTAATTGTTTTAAGGAAAGCTGTGTCGGGGGACGACACAAGCTCATAATATTCAGCAGTGCCTGGCTCAGGCATGAAACGTCGGCTTACAGTTGGGCGGTTAGGGAGGTAGCCAGCGTAAGAGTATTGCCCGAAATTGACCGCTGCATGGAGGGCAGAAGCCACCCATATGATTATGGTACATGATTCGATAAGTTCAGCTCTTGTTTGCATCTTAGGCCACCACGGTTCATTCTTCTTGTCACCGTGGCCTATATTGCGGAGCTCTGTCCACCAGTTCTGGAGTTCAGAATCACCTTGGACCACATCGTCCGATTGGTAGTACAAAGAGCAGTATTCATTAACCCAAGTTTCAATCGCCGACCAAATTTCTAGCCCATCAACAGCAAACGGGTAGTCTTCAATCAGAAGTCTCAGGCCATGAGGACAAGTCGTATCTGGAACTGCCATTCCTCTGAAATCGAACAGAAGCAAAATGACATTCAGTTTGATGGAAGTTTAAACGTTATTATTTTTAATTTGGGCTTTCTGGCTTACCTCTTGACCAAGTCAGCAGGTAATGCCTGCTCGGTAAGTACCCAGCTCTTATAAATAACAGCTGACATTTCCATGGAGAATCGACCTGGGAAGACTGTTTTCTCAAGCACCCCACCGGCATTGATGAGGATTTGCCTGGCCAGGGCATTTATGTTCATTGTGTCCCGGAAGTGCGGATGCAAAAGCTTATGTATCGGATGAAGCACACTCAACTGTCTATTTGTTGCAATCACAAATGGCTCTATCACAGCATGTGTGTTTAACCTGCAAATAAAATTTATAAGCGTGTAAACTCGAACCCAAGCCGCTACCTGTTGCTCCAATACAGCACTTTGTATGTTAGGCATCTTACCAGTGGCTGATAAGTTGATGATAGCCAGAATCGTTTACAGCAGCATAAGCTTTGGCAAGCTGCCACACTGACTCCTCGATGCGTTCATTGCCTTGTCCTGGTGGAGTGAAAACTTTGCTGACAGCCCCATGACGGTCCCCTTGTGGATGCGGTAAGCTTAGCTCAATTGCCAAAGGCTTCAATGTCCCGTCTTCTTGCAGCAAGAGAAGAGTTCTTGTGGCATACGTCTTTGTGTCCGTTGAGTTTATTTGCCTCAGGTATAACATTAATGCATCATGATGATCTAATATGAATAGCCTGTTCTTTTCAGTTGCCTGTGCAAAAAGGGACAAAAATGATAATTTCAGTACATACATTTATAAAAACATTGGATTAATATATTGGAAACAAATGAAGCATCAGCAGTACCTCTTCAACAGTGAGGCCATTCATGTTGCCTTTTATGTGCTCTTCTCGTATCGAACTGTTCTGATTCCCATATACTTCAGGGTCTAGCTTACTGACTGGGGGAAACTCCTGTAGTTAGAATTTCGATGGTTATTTGAACAAACTTAGAACGTATCCTTATCAGTATAATAGTCAAATGAATTAGGGAAACTTGTATTTTACTTCGAGGCGGGTGATGTTAACAGGGTTCACTCCTGCTAGCATTTCTCGTCCAAATTCTTCATCTGTCCTCCATGCTGACCTATCTTCTGCATTATATCAAGAAACCGTTGCAATTTAGTATGATAGTATGTTCAAAATTCAAGGAATTTAGCATATCTAATACCAGTCATTGCGGAAAGATGTATGTACTTTTAATCACGTCGGGCATTGGAAACTTGAGAAATCGCTCGCCATCTGAGCGAATCAGTTCCTTAAGCAGCTCCCAAGGGATGCGCTCCCTTATTTTCTTCAGTGTAGGCCCATTTGGTAACTTGATACCTCCCTCGTAGAGATTAACTACGTCGTCGAAGGTGTCAAACTCATTGATAGTTTTATCACACAAAGACTTGAGTTCTGGAAGCAATATTTGAACTAGGGATTTCAGGCCATTGGCAAGAAAATCGGAAAACTTCACGTGGCCAAACCGCTCATCTCTTGGAACATAAATGTCTAGACTTAGAAGCGGCAGTCTGCTCTCGGAATTGGGGTCTGTACAAAGCATGAAACAAAATTGGTCATAGAACCGTAAGAATTCTTCATGTCGTTCGTATTCTACGCCATATCTTAACTTAGTCAGGACTTGATTAGCAAAATGAACCATTTAGGTTACTGACCGGTTTTAGTTGTTTTTCGACCAGTTCTTCCTCTTCTTGGATATGGATACTCGTACGACCCACCAAGTATAGGGCGGGCATATTTTGGACCCTTGTCTGGACTCCCTAAATCATTGTAGTAAGCATAGTCATAGACTCTGTCCCACTCCTTTAGCTCGCCTGATCCACTCCCTTGGAGATTGGCGAGTTCTTCTTCCCTGTAAGGGTGTAGCAGCTCTGGTGTTTGAGATGGCAGGTAGGGCTAAACAAAAACATGAAGTTTTCAGTCAGTGCAGTCTCATAAGTACCTTGGCTAAAATTATAGCTTTTTAGTTGCATTTCTGCGTGTCATTGGTTACAGATTTCAGCAGGGAAGTGATTCGGCACGCCCCTTTCTCTTCTTGCACACTCTTATTCATTTGGTGGATCAAAGGAGAAGTAAAGAGTAAATATAGATAAGAGTGCGAGGAAATCATTTGTCTTTCAGTAAACTAGAGAAAGACCAATTTGCTAGAACTCATGAAACTTGTTGAATGTAACCAGATATATAATTTTATAATTAATGTTGTACACTTGTATTTTATATTTATTTTATTTGTCAAAGACTCAAAATACCAAAAGAAAATCTAGAAAAAATTTAAATCTATCATGATATTTTTAACTACAAGTGCCAATCCAGCGGGAAAAGTAGTGGATTGTGATATTTCCACTTTTGGTCAGTAAAGCTTCATACTGCAGAGATTAAAACGATCAATCATGACAAATCAGATGACATGGGTCGGATAAGATAAGATTCAGATTTCTTCTATTCTTAAATATATAAGAAAATACAAGTGAAAAATGTGTCTCCCTATTGCATGTTATATTTTGACATTATGTTAATTAACCAGACTGAACGTCAAATGTATACCTTGTTGGGGAAAAATATCCGATTGTACTTGTAACGATGTGCTGGGTATACCCAGGAATTGCAAACAAAATGGAGTTGACCGTGCTCGGGAACATCTTCTAATGTTATTGTCTTGAGGTAGAATTGGCTATGGTGATGGTTTCTGATCAGCAAAGCCCCGGGAACTCCATGGGACTCATCCCAATCCAAGGAAATGGTGAAACTAGTTTCTCCGGCCGACAACGATGTAATGGTTGTAGCCCATTTCTCCAAGTAAGCAACCTTTCCAAGCTTCCCTCTCGATTTCAATCCATTTGCTGCACATGAATAAGAATTTATGTCAATTTCGGCTCTGTTAAAATCTTAACATAGTAATTATCTTCTTCAACATTTATAACTTTTGACCTTGTATTCATTTATGCAGGTTCCAATTAAAAGTAAAACCATGAGTTCCAAAACTTGAACAAAAGAATTTTAGTAAACTAGAAAACATCTTCACAACTATAAGTTTTATACAAAAGCACGTCAAGAGATCAACTGGGGAGGAAAACCTTTCATTCGTAATTTATCTACTTGTCATGCAAGGAATGATTCGCGGTTGTGAAATTCTTTTGTTGTCCTCCCCAATTACCAAGTAAGTGGAACTTTTTTCCTTCTAAAGTGTCAGATTTGATATATTTTTCTCAAATGTAATGTTAGTTTATTTAGAGCTTACATGTGAAAAACTCAAAGCGTTTTAGTGAGTGAATTGTTAATTCGATTCAACTGAAGGAAGAGAGACTGACCTGCTGGTTCAGGATGAGTGGCACTAATGAGCTGCATGGAAACACCTTTGCCCAAGAACTCATGGATTCTATCAACGAACGAAGCTTTGAGGTCGTTGAAGTCCAACACATTCTTCTTCATCAACACAACCTTTCCTCTGATTCTGTTGCTCCCACTCACCATGTAATCTGGCTTCTCGTCGTCATTGTCCTTCTCCTTGTCCTGCAAACAACATGCTTCCATCACTCTACTCACCGCTGTTGTTGAACTTGGACAGAACCCACCCATCAGAAAAAAGGTCAAAATCTCAGGAAGATGGATGAGAATGTGGGAAGGGATTTAGCTCATGTAATCCTTTCCTCCTTTGTAAGGAGAAATTTTTAATTGTGATGGGAACATAAGTAGTATTTAATAGAAGTGATGGGAAATTTTATTTTTTAAATTATTAAATTTTTAGCATACATATCTCACTATTTATATAATGATACGTGATACCACCCCGTGTACCGGTTACATTGAAAAATCTCTCATTTTGAAGGAGGGTTTATTAATGATTTTTTTTTATTTTTTGACTTTTATTGACAACCCACAGTGGTAGTGGAACTTTTAATATTTCTCTCTTTACCGGTGGACAATTAAAGGACTGGATTCCATCTTGGCAAACCCAATCGCAATGTATTTATTTAATAAAGTGCATACAATTGTATACGTTCCATGACGTAAATGTATCGATTTATTGTACAAATGTCATAATTAAAATATTTTATTATTTTTATCTCATATGAACATCATCTTTAAAAAAACATTTGTTTGATTTAGACAAGATAACAGTTAATCATGAAGATAATACTTGTTACTATTACACAGATTCATTCGTACATAAGACTGCTTTAGTTTAGTAAGTGATGCTAGAATGACCATCTACTTGAACTATATTTGGTAAATTACATGATGTGGCGATTGATAGTTAGATTCATTCTCTAAATCATCACATAAATAATTTAACTATCAACTGTCGCATCATGTGATCTATAAAATATAATTAAAAAATATGATGTCCTTAACATTTCCTTAATTGAATGATAAAAAAAATAAAGAAAACAACTTGGTATGGTCACGTCCTAATGTAAAGAGTAATAACTATTATTATCCTTGTTATTACAGTATAATAATTTTATTTGAAATCATTAGGCAATAATGTTAATATATACATGTTGGCATATATTTTATGTATTCTCTCATCTTGGTCAGAATATATTTTATGAATTATGTGCGTCAAGTGTCTATCCTTTTAGCTCATATTAATGTGTGACGTGTCCTCTTGGATGTTGCATGAACAGCAATATTCGTTTACCTTTTTTGGTTCGATGTGCTTTGTTGATGGATGCTTCCTAGCGGTCTTGTACGATGGTCTATATTACTTTACTAATTAATGTGATTACTGGAAATTCTAATTATTCTATGACACAATAATTTTATATGGAATGTGGTTTGTCGTCAAATGTCACATTATATGAACCAGATTGGTTTGATCATTGACAAGTAACATTTTTTATCATTGACCTAGAAGTCGTTGGACCATGATGTGATCTCGATTGTGGAATTTAATCTGTGCCCGTGTGTTGAGTTGGATGTGTTCATATGTTTTCAGAAATTATCTATATACTAAAACTCAAATGAAACGTTACTGTTCATTAACAGTAGAAAGGTGAAAATACCTTCCAAATTTTTCCAGCGAGTTCTTCAAATCTCGCATCTGGGACTTTTTTTCAAAGTGTGTGGATTATGTTTTGTTCAACTTTAAATGTTAGAAACTTCTAATTTTTCTGAGTTCAATTTTAAATCAAATTCTGTTATGGGTTGTTATCAACCATTTTAGAGTTTTCGTTTGATCAGAGAGATAGGGTTTTTTTTTTTGGTGAAACTTTTAATCGGTGAGATTTCTAGTTAGGATATTTTGTGGGTTTTGGCGAATTTCTAGTTTGTACTAATTTTTCAAAGTAGTCATTGTCATTTATGTATATTTCTTTCTATTCCCTATCTTCCTTGTTCCTGTTTGGGTAGCAAGTCTAGGAGAAGACTTAGGGTTGGTTTGGTATTGCTGTGCTTTGAAAAAAAGCTGCTTCTGCTGTGCTGTGAGAATAAGCAGATGTGAAATAAAGCAGCAGAGTGTTTGGTAAACTTTTTTGTAAAAGTGCTTTTGAAAAAAAAAGGCAGTATTAGAGTGTTTGGTAAACTTTTATGTAAAACATATGTGAAAAAAAACCGGTTTTTCAAAGCTGGGTTTTGCAGCTTCTTGTTTTTGGCTTTTTTTCATCCAAAACTGTGAAAAAAAGCTGAAGCTGAGTGTTTACCAAACACAAAAACAGCTCCCAGCTTTTTTTTATAGCAGCTTTTTTCAGAATCACCTCAGTACCAAACCAAGTCTTACATGAACTAGGAAACGAGAGGACGTCAAAATAGTATTGTTTGTAATCCATCATATGATTATGAGAAAAACTTAAAACACGTATTGAAAACAGAAAGAGAAATAAATCAAATCAAATACTAGCAGTGAATATAACATATCAATGTTATTTTCTTGGGGAAGAAACAAAAACTTGGCGTAGGTATTGTTTGAAGAAAAATTGGTTAATTCACTACAAGAGAAAACAAACTTCATGGTGGGTTTTGTTTATTAATTAGTATGTTTTTCCATCCTTCTACATTTTTTATGTCAATAACTTTACAAACAAGTAACCAGTGACGGTTCGTTGCACTAGTTAGAACATTTGGAATAAAAAGAAAAATGTTAAGGAGACTATATTTGCAAACTAAATAATGTACCACCAATAAAAATGTGCACGTTTATCAACGCTTAATTAATAAATCAATAATTAACTTACATGTCCTTTAATTTTCAAAATTTAATCTATAAATTTAGTATATCTAATATTATTCGAATAAAAAACATGCTTATCATGGTGAGCATTCAGCAATGACCCTATCTTATGCTTGGATTCATCATATCTTATATGGTCTCACAATGTGCTAACTAGATAAGACCCCAAAAAGAGCGAAGGCCTCAAGACCTTTCTTATCTTACTCATTTATATATTTTATTTTCATGAACTAGTGTCAAATGGAAGAGTAGTTTTTTAGTATTTTAAAGAGTAGATTTTTTTAGGGTTTTAAGTGAATCTTTGTGGTTTCTTACAATTCACAAATTAACAATACCGGCAATTTCTTTATTGACAATCAAGCACGACCTCGCAGATTCTTTGTGAGATCCCACATCAACCAACGGAGAGGGGGGTGATGTACATGCTTCTTTGTGAACTCACTGGCTTCAGATTCCATCGGAACTCCGAAGTTAAGCGAGTTTGGGCTAGAGCAATCCCATGATGGGTGGCCTACTGGGAAGTTGCTTGTGAATTCCCAGAAACAAAACCGTGAGTGAATGGTAAGCCCAAAGTGCACAATATCGTGCTACGGCGGAGCCGAGACTGGGATCTAATAGAATGGTATCAGAGCCACTCTGTCGTTTGGTATGAATGTGCCAACAAGGACGCCGGGTTCCCCTCCCTATAGCACGAGACTTTTTGAGAACTCACTAGCTTCGGATTCCATCGGAACTTCGAAGATGGAATCCGAAGTGAAGCGAGTTTGGATTAGAGCAACCCCAGATAGATGACCCACTGGGAAGTTGCTCGTGAGTTCCCAGAAACAAAACCGTGAGGGAATGGTAAGCCCAAAGCACACAATATCATGCTACGACGGAGCCGAAATTGGGATGTGACATTATTTTCTTGACAACCAAGCATAACCATTCGTTTTCTGAAATGAACTGGCTTAATCAGTTACTGTAGAATTCGGACTCAACATTTTACATCCATGCCAGAAGGAGCAAGGTTTTCAATTTTTGTTTTACTGTTGTTTTTTTTTCTTCTCTTGTTTCCTTTTCTTGAATCCAATCAAGCCATTAGTTTAGGTTCATAACTTTAATTAAGTTGAAATGCAGATGAAATTACAGAATAACTACTGGCCATGATACTATACTGTGTGATGCTTAAGTTCAGAAATCATAGTTACGTTTCCCTATCCGACAAAAGAAAAAACCCTAGAAAATTCATATGGTGTTGAGGATTTACATGGATATTTGGAACTTTCTTCTTTTCTTTGGCTGTTATATTTTTTATTTAGTACAACGCACAGAAAGTAAGAACAGAAAGAAGTATTTTGACCAAATATAAAGTGTACAGAAAGCAAAACTTGATTAGTTAATTTAGTTGGTATCTTGTCCTGATTTGTGAACAAGCCAACTTATGCATCTTTCCTGAAGAAGGATATGCATGCATTCAAATTCAATAGTTTTTGGCTGACGTTTAGGTATCTTTTACCTTTTTAAGACTAGCTCCGATTACAAGTTTATATATCAATTTGAATAAACTATTTACAGTCTGTACTTATCAGTTGCCTATAAGTTTTGATCGCCCATGGAATTGACGATGAACCTCTTAAGGAGCTTCCGATTTATTGTTTGTGTTACAAATATTGTACAGGCCTGCAGAAGGCAAAATCCCATGCGGCTAAAACCGAAGAACGCCCGAAGAAACCTTTTTCTTCTAAAACAGACTAAGTAATTAGCTGCTACGCGTGGAATTATAAATCTACGACACGTGAATTTTTCGTTAATATTAATATTGTACTCTAGGTCAATGACATATAAACTATGTTGTTCATTCGTTATAACGCGTGAATTAGTAATGTATAGAATGATCATCACACGAAAAAAAATTCTCTAGTTGTTGGTCGAGATGCACTAGTATAATTACAAACTTTAGATATCTTGCAGGCAATTTTAACATTAATTAAAAGAAATTCATACAGTCAAATCGCGCAAGTATATACCAAATTTGAGCATGAAGTTATAGTTGTAAGAGTTTCTAATCTCAATTATAATACTTCAAAATCTCACACAGTTTCCAAGCCTTACGGGAAGGCTTTTATATGTACATCACAACAACTTTACATATTAAACTACTAGGTGACAGCATGCACACCCATCCCTCAGCACCATCTATACACCTTTACATATTAAACTACACACACATGCAGCAGCACCATCTGCTGTCTTCTGACAGCACACATGGGAAAAAAAGCTTTTAGCAGTAACCAAGCACGCATGG